TCTTCTTAATGTCTTTATCAGCCATTTCTGTATCTTCTTTGAAGAAATACTTGTCAAATCTTTTGTCCATTTTTTTATTAGGGTTTTCGTAACTGAGTTGTAAGAAGAAATCTTTATACATTCTGTATAAGAATCCCTTCATCAGATATATGTTATTTATTTTTGTTTTGAGGGGTTTTGTTTGTTTGTTTGTTTGTTTTGGAGATGGGGTCTTCCTGGGTTGCCAGGATGGACTTAAATTCCTGGGCTCTGGCGATGTCCTAGCCACAGCTTCCTGAGTAGCTGGGACTACAGACACAACCCGTAGCACCCAGTTAAGGTATAAGAGAACCTCTGTGAGCTGACCACCCAAGGGACTGTAACAAACTGGTCAAAATATGGGGTGGTTGGTTCAGCACCTGTAGCACAGTGGTTATGGTACCAGCCACATACACTGAGGCTGGCGGGTTCAAACCCAGCCTGAGCCAGCTAAAACAACAATGACAACTGCAATAAAAAATAGCCAGGTGTTGTGGCAGGTGCTTGTAGTCCCAGCTACTTGGGAGAGTGAGGCAAGAGAATCACTGAAGTCCCAGAGTTTGAGGTTGCTGTCAGCTGTGACACCACAACACTCTACCAAGGACGACAGAGAGACACTCTCTCAAAAAAAAAAAAAAAAAAATATATATATATATATACACATACATATATATATGGAGGCAGTCAACATAAGGAACTTCCACTGAATATACATGGTACATAGCTGGTCTATGAAAATTAGGTCAACTTAAGAAGGTGGTCAGTGTAGGGAGGTAGTCACTATACAGGGTCTGCTGTGTATGAATTCATATATCTAACTTCCCTACTTCCTCCCAATCCATGGGTTGTCTTTTCATATCTGATTACATTTAGCATGTGTATTCTAAAACTTGGGTACAGACTTAGGCTTTTTAAAAACTAAGAAACTGTTATGAAATGAGTGAGAAGCCTGCGAAGGTCTTTACGAGGCAACTATAGAATGAGTATGAAAAATAAATTCTATGCACATATCAGGTACTTCTTGATCCAAGAGACAAATCTATAGTAACCTGGAAGCCTTAGGTGCCTTGAAGACTCTTGATTGGTAAAAGACTATCACAGGTCTGGAATATTGAAGGGGATCTGTATTTTCCCTCTCCTACTTTACTATGGAATAAAGAAGTGCACAGTGCAAGGCTCAGTAAATTAACTCAGGAATGTCAAGAGGGAAATTTCCCAGCTTTCTCTCTAATTAAACGGTTGGAACTAGGTAACTTCCTCTGCCAGATTGTTATTTGTGTTATTGTTCATTCATTTTTATACTTTGAACAAACATTTTTAAGCTTCTAGTATTTATTTTTCCTTGAGACAGAGTCTTACTCTGTTGTCCCAGCTAGAGTGCATGGTGTCTGCCTAGCTCACAGCAACCTCAAACTCCTAGGTTCAAGCAATCCTCCTGCCTCAGCCTCCTGAGCAGCCGGGACTACAGTGCCCATCACAAAGCCCAGATAATTTTTCTTTTTAGTAGAGACAGTGTCACATGCTTCTCAGGCTGATCTCTAACTCCTGACCTCAAGCGATCCTCCAGCCTTGGCCTCCCAGAATGCTAGGATTACAG